GACTGCATCATTTGACTCTGATGCAGACTGCGTGCCCGGTGGGCGGGGCCAGGGGCCGGCAGGCCGGCGGGAAGAGGTCAGCGGCGGAAACGACCGACAGCGGCCGAAAAAGAAAACACAGTAACAACAAAATTAAAAGAGGAGCGCGGGGTGCTGTGGTGTGTGAGTGTGTGTGTGTGTAGGGGGGGGGGGGTCCAACGTGGCCCGCCAAGGGCTGCTGCGGTGGCAGGCGCTGCCAGTGCCGCACACCGGTGAACCTTGGCCCACATGGCCCGGCGTGGCGCGGCGTGGCGTTGCCCTCTCCCCCTTCCCCCTCCCTCCCCACGGCCGCCGCGCCGTCTCACGCAGCTCGTGCGATGCCCTTCACACCGTCTTAAAAATTTTGTGGTTCGTGTGTCTCGTTTTGCCGCCCACTCTGCGAAAACAAGTCGTCCGGCTGGAAGGTCGTGTGTGTGTGCGTGCGGGACAATAATTCCAATAAAACGTGGACGGAAGAAGCAAAAGATCAACAGACAGTCTTATTTTCTGCGAATGACAACTATTTGTTTCGAACCAAAGCCGAAAACTAACGATGGTTGGTAACAAACCTCCCTAAAGAACGTGTACACATTTATTTAGTTCAGTCACTAGGCACTATACTTAATAGAAATGGTTTTTCAACTCGTTTCAAAAATAATATTAACAGAAATTATCTTATAAACTTATTTAAGTCTATTTTCACGATTTATTTCACACCCTCCAGACGCGAATACTAGAAAAGGCTAATTTAGAAAAGGGGGATGTGGGGCAATAAGGGCAGACGTGCCTTTTGCCGCCCGCCGCGCCCTCCCGACCACGGGGTGGGAGTCGGCGGCGCTGTGATATTGCGTCCAACCGCCAAAACAAAGCTAAACAAAAACGAACAATATAAATGAATTGGACGGAAGCAAATTTATTTGTTTTGAACGTGTATGTTTTTAAAGCTGCCTTGGCGGTGGCGGCGGCGGGGCGGGGTCATGCCAATGACGGGGACCGCGGCCCGGCGAGGCGCAGGCCGGATGCGCCGCGCCCGTCGTTCCGTGTTGTTCAGTGTTCACATAGCGTGCCAGGAGAAAGTACAACGTCAGTGAGAGTGCACCGCATGAGCGCCGTTTTATATAGGACGTCATATGGAAAGTCATTTATTTATATTATTGCTGAGCTTAACTTGAACTTGAAATTAAACTTAAACTTTAAATGCTCAGCTCTGTCAGGAAGCGCAAGGGGAGACCGCCCGGAAGACGGCGTGAAGTGAGGCGCCTGGCTTGAGACGTGGGATGTGAGGTGGACAGGCATGCCGACCAAAATCGCGAAAACATTTTAATTTTAGCGCGCCGCAGGCCAAGGTAGACGCTCATTTATCTCAGCTTCACACGGTTTTAACGTGCGTCTACCTTGTTATTGTTGGACGAAGACGCAGCGCGAGTTTATTCTTAGTTGTACTCTCTCTCTATTTGTACTCTATTTCAAAATTGACGCAGTTTGGGTGTGGCCCCTGCCCTCCCGTGCGGTGCGGTGTTACCTCGGCCACCCGGTGCTGGTGCACTGTAGTTTGAAGTGGCCCGCCTCTGCTATCGCGTTGCTGCCCGGGGGGCCGCAGCGCGGCGCAGCGTGACCGGACCGCGTCACACCACACCAGCGTCACGAGGAAAAAGCCGCAAAAAATGATACCCTGGTTCCGTTTCGCTCGCACTCGAAATACACTACACAATGCGTTGGGTAGTACTGTCCACCTTATCATGACGAGAGATGCGACTGAATCTGAATTGCACCGCGCAGTACTTTTCCCCTGTTGTAACGGAGGCGCGGCGGGTTGCGGTCGAGTGTGAAATAAAACTGAGTGACCAAACAAAAACTCCCGCACTTTTCAAACCGTCGATATAGTTATAGTATTCCCGCGCGGTTTTGTTGCAAGCCGGTCCGTTTCGCTCCGTTTCACCACCCACCCCATACTCGGCTGGCATAATGCCGCGTCTCGAGTTTGTCCACCCTCGTTTGCCCCTATGTGTTCAGGACTGGTTGGCAGCCACAGGTGGCCTGGCCGGCCTGGTCAGTCTCATGGGTCTCATGCCGGGGCAGGGCGGGGCGGGGCGGGGCGGCCGCTGGCCCGAACACAACGGCGAACAAGCCGCGCGCAAAGCCCCGTCACTGTGAGGAAAGCAAACCAGCTCTTCATTCTCAACGGAAAAAAAATAAACAGATCGAGATAGATAATCAAGGACTTGCAGATAAAATATCTCTTCCACAATGCGAAAATCAAATTAGCAAAAAACTCACCGTCAAGTCATTTCAAAGATAGCTATGCAAAATGAAACTAGCGAAAAGACGTTGCGTCGCGCGGGCGAAGCTCTGGCAGGCCAGTGTAGGGAAGCCCCGCGACGGGCCCCGTGCCGCCCACCTAACCCGGGCCGCCGCCGCGCCTCGCCGGTAAGGATTCCTTCCCGGCTGGACGGACTAGGAAGTGATTCACGGCTCCTCCTGGCCGAGCGCCCCGTGACGCACGGGCAGCACGGCCGGGCGACGTCACCGCGCAGAGCGTCACCGACCTCTCCACCCTCCGCGACTCGTCCTGCCTCGCATGACTCCTGCTGTGCTGCTTCAACAAGGGTCATGACGACAATATTCATCGCCAGTTAAATTGCTTACTTGTGGCGCGATTTGGCGTCAATTCAACATTGCCTCTCACCCCTCGCCCTCATCTGTTAGAGAGGGGAAATGAAAAGTAATGACAACACTTCACAGACCCACCCAAGTTCGCAATCAGCCCCCCCCCCCTCTCCCCCTTTCTCTCTCCATTCTCTTAATCTCCCGCCGCAGTTCACACAGACGACGACGACGTCGTCGCGGAGAGCACAGCCAGTCTCCGTGAATGGAAAGGGATTTTGCAACGTCCAGGCGGTCGCCTTCGCGCGCGCACGGGTAGTTGTAGTACAAGGGAGAGGGGCAGCGAGAGTGAAAAGAGAGAAAGAGAGAGGGGAGGTTAGTTCGGCGCCAGGCCAGGCCAGTACCGCGGTGTGGCCCGCAGAGACCTCAAGGTCAGGTTTTGGCAGCGCGTTGCACCCTGCTGCAGTGGCTGGGCCCGTGCCGCCCCCCCCCCCCTTCTCCCCGGCGGGCTGACCTTGCTTCCAGAGGCTTATGCAACTCCTCGCCTCAGGCTGCCGCCGGTGCTGCTGCCACTGCTGCCACTGCTGCCGCACCACATGCATATGCAACGGGCAAACGTTTTGGGAGAAGAACGGCTGTGGCGGGAGTTTTGCCAAGTCGCGCCCTCGACGCTGTCCGAAACGTTCCCGAAAATTTAGCGAAACGAAACAACAAATATGACCTGCCACGACTTTTCATCAAAATTACAATCATGATGTGAGCAGCCCAGCAGTAGAATTGGTTGATCCGGTTGGTTGTGCCGAGGCGATTTAGCAGCGCGATATTGCGGCGATCGCTTTTGCGCTAAACTTGAGGTGCGGCAGCTGCACCGACGACGCCGACAGGTGCGGCCAGCTGCCGCCGCTGGGCCTCGCTCGCTGCGTGAAATTGCGTCGCGTCGTTGACGCGTCGTCGTCTGAATGACCGGATGAATATGCTAATTCCCTTGGCACGGGCGAGGCAGGGCGGGGCGGGGCGCGACCGCCAGAAACACACTCGCCTGGCTTTAGCCATCAGAGCGGTTGCTAAATCGGCAAGAATCGTCGCAGCAATAACCCCAGACTGTCTCCCCCCTCCCTCTCTCTCTCTTGCTCTCGCTCTCGCTCTCGCTCTCGCGGGCGGCCCTGGCAGCGGGCGTGGGAGAGAGGGAGCGCGGCGGCGAGGGCGAGCGCGAGGATCACGTTTGGCAAAGGAGCAAACGCGACCGTGCTCGGCCCGAGTTGGGAGGAGGGCCCCGCGGCGGGACAAGCACAGGCCCGGGTGTTGGTGTTGGCGGCGCCGCCCCCGCAGAGGCGCAGAGGACGCCGTCGTGGCGGAGGAGCGCTCCTCCTTCGCGAGGGTCAGCGCCGGTGTCGCGCATGCGCCCTCGATGCGCCCTCTCCGCGCCCCGCGCCGCGCCAGGCGGTCGGGACGCGTGAACCACTTTCCGGCGCAAGTGTGTCAAGTTCATCTCATTCACAGACCGCGGCGAGGCCCCCCGGCCCGCGGCCACGTAGCCTGAGCCTGCCCCCGCCCCCCCAACCTCGTCTTTACCTCCTCACCGGGGGCCCCGCGCAGCCCCACTCCTCGACGCGACGTCCCCAGGAAACGGCGAGCGATACGGGAACGCTGTGTACATGTGTTATCGACCTCAGGTTCGACTCCCACCCCGTCGACCTCCACGTTTAACCACCTTCCCTCTTGGCCGCAGCCGCCCTATGACTCAGTAGCATTTGTATTACCATTACTTACTTCTGATCTGTTTTAAATGAAATGAATTGTCATAGAGAACGTTGCTCGGTATGACTTTAGGACGTATCCGAAATTAAGTAATTCAATTATCAAATATATTGCAATACAATGACGAGGAAAAAGAATATCAAAAGAAATGCACTCTCCGAAACTGCACTGCTAGCACGCTTTGTGCAGGGCAGGCGTGCTCAAATCGTACAGTGTAGAAATAGTATTAACACGTCAGATCTTAGTTTTTCGTCTTACGTGTCGACCAACAACCAAACGTGCCCATCATGGAGTTTTCGGCAACTTTTGCGCTCGCTACCGGGAAGACGACGTGCTTCCGTGTGTGTCAGTGAGCGGCGCGGGCGGGCCGGCGATTCATTCCCCCCCCC